CAGCAAGTGTCACTGCACAGGAGAAACAGGACAGCACTGAGCTCTCATTGAGACTTTGTCTCAGGCTATTGGGAATGCAACAGAGGTAGGATGTCATATACAATGACTTCCACTAGCATGTCATTCTGGAGTGTTTCATGGTGTCAGGGAATTTCCTTCAGCAATCTGACATGCCTTGAACTTGCCAGTCTATGTTTATTGTGGAAGTAGCAGTGTACTCAGCCACAGAAGAATTGAAGGGAACAAGCTATGAACATCATGTTTGCTGGAGTTCATCCAGAACTGAGCTGACACTGATGCCCATGTGGCACTTTTCTCCTCTTTATCTTCCAGAAATAGGCACCTTCTTTATTTTTGTATATACTGGTAGTTTGTGTAATACTTCAGCTTTGTATATTAATATTTCACTGAAGTAATACCAGCTCCAGCAGCATCATCCTTTGTTTTGTTCTTCTTGTTGACTACCAGGGAGGGAGATGTGCTGTCCTTAATGTTGCACTGCATACATTGAGAAGATCCCCAAAATATTGCTTTAATCTTTGAAGAACACACTCATCTTTGGAATCACTTTGGAGGGAACTACAGCACCAAACTATCTGATCCCATGAGGGCCAGTGACACCCTACATTTCTTAGCCAGTAAAGTGCTTGGATCTCTCTCACCGCGTGCATCTCTACTCTGTCAGGCAGCAGAATGTGTTGACAGTTGTAGGTTGTTGCTTGTTGATTAAGCAATGAACAGTGTTCTTTAATCAAGGTTGTTACTGTTTTCTTTTCCAGTGCTGTGGTACACAGTGAGATGCTAACAGGTTGCCGAACTACATCCAGCTCCTGTACGCTGCCTTTGCATAGAGGTCTACTGCAACACCCACTTTGGCGGAGACAAGCTCATTCTGTCTTGGTCACCAGACAACATGGTTTTTCCTCATCTTTCTTGTTATTATGCTCCAGTTGTGTTTGGACCAGTGAACTCTGACCACGTAGCATTGGAGATGCGCGCCAGAGAATCTCAAGGGAACAGAAGGTCCCGCTGGCAAGAAGAGCCACTAGCCACAAGGGGGAGGTAGTACTTAATAATACGAAGCACCAACCACTTCAGCTGAGGATTTCGTTCAGATTGTGTAAATCAAGTTTAGAGGTGAGGTGTCTCAGAAATACAAACCCACAGGAGCAGTCGTACAGAGTCATAATCTAAATTTCAGTGAGTCACTTCTTTGCAGGTGCATCTGTTGTCTCAGCTATGCAGAAATTAGCTAGAGAGCTCCTGGACCAGGCAGTAAATTAACGACTAAATGGCCTTGATGTGCACACAGGCAAAGCCTTCATATCCAGCTACACCACAACAGCAACTATAGAGTAAACTTGAATTTCATCCTTTTATCACAGCAATAACTTACATTTCCTTGATTTTGCCACAATACCTGAACTGTTGACCACTGTTTCTGCCTTGTATCCTCCACAAAGGAACACTGTTTTCTCATCCTCACATAGGAGTGCTCAAAAGCATGACTTAAAGAGCAGGAGGCAATGGGTGTCCTCCTAAGACCCTTCCCTTTAGGGGGGCTTGAACAGAGCTGTCAATTCCAGAGTGCAGCATCCCTTTGAGCAAGACATGTTGCCATGTCACCAGCCTTCTGGCAGCTCCTATTTAGGCAAAAGCAGCAAGAGAAGGCCAGACTCTCCAGGCTGCTGCTCTTTAATCATCCCCCTTCAGAAGCATTTTCCAAGGAAGACTTCCCTTTTCTAGCACTCAGTCCAAGTTCTGTGAAGTCCAGTGTGTTTCATATCTCTCTTCGTGTTGCATGCACCCAGGACAGCACTTGTATTGCACAACACACAGGTCAAACAGAACACGGTTTTTGCCTTTACTGAAAGCACAAGATGTCTCAGGGATCTTTCTTAACTATGTCCAAATGCAGAGAGTCGTATGAACACAGCTACTGCCCTGCGGGGTATGGACTGGGGACAACTTAGCTGCGAAGATGAGGTCTGAGTAAATGCAAAGGGTTGTGGCAAATATTTTTATCTTTATATATAAAGATGAATATTTATCTTTATATATCTTTTTAATCTCTAGAGATTAAGCATCTTTTATGAAGGGTACAAGGACTCCCAGAGTGTCTGAACACTGTCCTAGAGCAGCTGGATTGTAGTTCTTCACAGACAGGAGGAAAATGAGAAGATCTACACAGGGAAATGAAAAGGAGCTGACATGCAGAATGAGACACCTGCGGGATTCTGGAGGAAGGCAGAATACCCTACATAACAAACAGACAGAAGGAATTACCCGTCTTTCAGTGGGATGGTTATCTTCAATAATTTATCTTTCGTTAAAGCCAGTGCCCTTACCTGTTTAATTATGCTGTTCGCTGTTCTTTCCTAAGAAAGAAAAAAAACTTTCCAACATATTCTCTTCTCAGCACCAAGACCAAAACTTTTTACATGCCAAGTTAAAAACTGTCCAATTTGTAAAACCTTAAAATTGTGCAATTTTCTTGGAAAGTTGGAATAAAATAGCAAATTCCACTCCTCCCATCCACCTTTTCCAAGTTACAAAACAGTGCAGAAATATATAAGGGCTTTTATTGTTATATTTTAATAGGTGAGTGTCCATTTTCATTAAAAATGTCCATTAAATATTTTGAAAACAAATTGTTCTTACATTCTACATATACATGGGCATTTCCAAACAAATAACCAATCCAAAACAGTAGCTGTTAGGCAAGACAAAGCTCCCAACAGAACTTTCAACATGACAAGCTACAAAGGGGAAAATGTTTCAAAAATACATAACCCATCAACAAACATGAGTTTTGGTAGAAACTAACAGGAATGGTGCTTCTAAACCAGTTACACAATTTTTAAAACCCTCCTCAAATAACTCTTCAGTCTTAATATACTGATCTGCAAAGTGCCCATGAACAATAGTTCAACAATTGTACAAATTGACACTTCCAAAAAAAGTGAAAGCGAATATTAAACATTTATTACATTGCATCCAACCCTGTACAATCAAGCATATGATGCTCCGACTTACATATTTATAATGAAAAAAGTGTTTTACCCTTCACTGGCTGCTGTTTGTCAGCTGAGTTGCTTAACTGTCTGTATATGCACATGCAACGTGCCACAGCTCTGTGGTCAGACACTTTCCACATCCTGGAGGAATTACATACAGGGTAATTAGTTGTTCCAACTAATCTGTTCTAAGGGATGATTAGGGCATGTGCATATGGCCAGCGATGGCAGCCTGCCTTGGGCTGTCACACAAGAGTAGTAACACAATTGCTTTTTTCATCTCCCAATCCCCATTTGCTTGGCATCCAGAGAAGTTTTGGCCTTTCCAGTCTTTGTGAGAGTATCTTTTTTTTCCCCCCAGGTCTGTCTGTCTACTACAACTTTATTTACAAAAATAAAAAAAGATCAGTACATAAGAGACTAATAAACAAATACAACAGTATAATTAGTACCACCAAGGTGAGCAAAATCACAACAGGAAAACTGACTAGTTGGGAAACGTATTCTGCTTAAGGATTTTGTTTCATATTAGAAATTTTTGATGAGTAACTGGATTAGGTTGCACATGCTACTTCAAAAGATTTATCTGCTGTATTCTGTGCCCAGACGGAAACAAAACCAGAAAGAAACAATAAGGGAAAAACCCGTATCTGCTAGAATTCTCTGTTAAATTTGGATGGGCATTCAGTTAGCTGGATTGCTTCTAGGGCATAAACTAGCCTATTGCCTAGAGTGAATGTGTCTGGCAAGTCTAGCCCTGCTAATTAAAGAGCTGACAACCTACCAGCACTAACCAAAGTTATGTAACAAGAAGACCAGATGTTATAAATAAAAGGGTAAATGCTGCACCTTTGGAGTCTAAGGCTAGATTAGAAAGGAGGAAGCAAAAAAGAGCTACTCTCCAAAATACATGGCACATTCAAAACAAGAAGGTGTTTCCTACTGCTACAAGGACCCAAAGAATACTCCAAGTTTTAAGAGATTTCAAACATGGAAATGCACTGGGGTATTCTTTCCAGGTTTTCGAATCTACATCTGTTTATTTTACTGTGCTAACTAAAGTAAAAAGCCCCCTTTCTTAAAACAAAAGCTTGTACATCTGTAGGCTTTCAGGGTCATGTGCACGTGAAGCAGTGAACCACAACCTCAAAATTTAAGAGTTGTGGAAAAGCATACTTCAGTTCTGGGAGAACTGAGACCATCAAGGAGGGAGGTAGTGGCTACCAGTGCAGGCTGCATTTAGGCTTCTATCTGCAAATAACAAACAGGACTTGTCCAAGGAACAGAGCCAGGAGCAATGGCTGTAACCAACAGAGGTTCCTGCAAGCTAACCAGGTAGCAGCCAGTGTACTGGGATGCAGAAGCAGCAGCATGGTGACGTCTATACTGGAGGCACACTGTTGGGTTACAACTAAAACCTTGACTGATAAAAAAACATAAGTATTCTTAACATATTTCCGGTATGATGAGAATATAACTTCGAGTTTAAACACTCTCTAGTATTCAGGCATGGACCCCTAGCTCCAATGAGACTTTCATCGACCTGTTTCTTTATGTGCTATTTTAATTATCATGTTTTGGATGTTTCATTCATAAAGTACTATTTGTATATTAAGCTGGAAGACAATACAAGACCGATTAATCTGAAACATGATCATACTATTCCCCCCCCAGAATACTAATATGTACATTTATACACACTCACACACACATATATATAAATGTACATATATACATGTAGGATTTATGTGACCAGCAGCCTGGTCAAACACAGTCTCTTCCAAACATCTGCCTTAAAATCAGTCTTGCTTAAACAAATAAAAAATTTAAAAAACCCCACAAAATGATAGCTTTGAGACACCAAGTGAAAATTAAGGATAAGGAGCACAATGTGCTACCCCACTCGGGGAGATACATTACAATTCTCCATTTGGGGAATATGACCGTTAACTAGGTAGATCACTCTAAATGGAGCTCTGTTTGGCTGCTTCTGATACCTATGGAAGCTGGCGTATCTCTAGACTACACTGCAGTCTGCAATACAAACACACAGAGTTTTAACAGCATGCGTAGCTCACTGGAGCATATGTTGTTAGACAGTGAAAGGAAAGGCACTAACACTGCACATGTCCCATGCAAATACAAGTGCAACAAGGAGCAGAAATGGAAACGTAGTAGGAGAATTTAACAGCTTCAGACTACAACCGTGATTGTCCCTACTACGCACAGTGGATACATGAAATCCCATTACTTCCCCTACTTATCGTTTTCCTAACATGGCCTTTTCTGCCCTCTTGAACTTCTGTAGCTCAATACCTAGTTCCCAATATCTCAGATACAGCCACATAAGTCTTCCATTTTGACATTTGTTTCTGTTCAGCAGATTGCCACAGTAGTTATCATGTTTGAAAATATCTTTTAAGCCACTTTCCATATGTAGAGCCATAGCAACAGGATCAGTTGCTGCTTTAACTAGCAGATTTTTCTCTATTTCTAGTCTCTGGCTTCTGGGTACAACAAAACTGCAGTAGATGTCCTGCCTTTCTTTAAGTCCCTCTTCAAATTCTTTTAGTAAAATATTGGCTCTCTTTTGCCACTCTTCTTCCTTTGCCAGACAACTTTGGTACAAGCTACCTGCTGCTCCTGAGTGCAAAAGGACTTGTTTCTCTCGCTCTAACTTCTCCTGATCCTGTTCTAGGATCCTTCTTTCTTCTACTAGTTTGCGACTCTGGGACACGAGGGCTTCACGGTAACTCTGGGTTCTGTTGCGTTCCTTTTCAAGCTCCAACTCCAAATGAGCAACTGTGCGACGATTTTCTGTGATTATATCCCGGTATTTGGCTTCCAGGTCTTTTTGTAAAGATGAATGTTTTTTATAATATTCTTCTTTTTCTTTTTCTATTTCTTTTTGACATTCTCTGGTCCAGATCCAACCTATCATATAAACAAGACTTCAGACATGAGTATAACACATATAATATTGATAGGGATGATTAGTTAACTATGCCTCTAAAGAAGCTACTAAGTGCTAACAAGCTTTCTTTCCCACCCTCCCTAGTGATATCTACTTCTACTCACAAGTCGCACAAAATGTATTTCCGTGGGTCCATGTTTCACAGTAAGTCACTTTAAATGATCATGTTTCCTTTGAAGTAAAATCACCTCTCATCTTTTTTTGCCAATGCATACACTTCTTGGATTAAAAAAGGAAAATAAAGTTACGGGGAAACAAACTGGCCATTTCCAACACAGGAACTGCACTAAGACCTTTTCAGGTCCAGTAAATACATATACATCAGCAGCTCCTTGGGTTGTCACCTTTGGGCTCTCCAGCACACTGTATGTCCACTCTTCCGAGACAACTTTGTAAACTGGAGCTTAGTAAATACGGATTTGATTCCATGTGTGAAAAATGGCTGTTACCTTAATGCTATAAACAGTGCTTACTGCTTATAACATTATAAATGAACAGACCAGAGGAAATTCCTAGACGGGGTAACATGGTACTGCTTCAGAGGTTCCCCTTTGGCTGGAGGGTGAGGCACCTGAGCACAGCCACTCACCCAGCTCCAGCAGACAGGCCTGGGTGTTACTTACGGAAGGCAGCCAAGCCCAGCATGGGGACCAGCAAGGCGTAGTTCCATCTGCTGCCTTCACCCCCAGGCTCTCGTTGGTTTGGCAGGATGTTCCAGTTGGGAGGGTCATTTAAATTATTCATGAAGGCACCTTACATTCACAGGAGAGAAACACGGCCTCAGCACCACGCAGAGGAGTGGGGCCGCTCCCACGGCCACCACCTGGGCCACAGCTAACTCCGGGACAGGTGTATCTGCCCGAGACCCTCAAAGGGCGGCCTTGTCACTTGGGCATTCTGCACGGAGGCGCCGCCACCCAGCCAGAGG